TTTAATAAATAATGATAATATTTTGAATAATTCCATGGTTATCAAAAATATAGTATTTACAATTTGTTATATATATTTGATATCCTTATAAAAGTTAGAATATTAATTCTGTATCAACATTAAATACAATTTAGCTCCATAAATTAGATATCATGAAATATCTATTCCAATTTTTCTTTTTTCATCATTAAATGTAAATATCATCTTTAAGTTATAGATCCATATAATTCTAGTGTTTATCGCTCTTTTTCATTCATATATTATTTACAATATATATATTTAATTATACATGTTGGCTTGTCAATTATACTATATCATTCAGTAAATAGTCTATAAAATATTTCTTATATATATTTTGTTTTTAAAAACACTTCGATATTCTTAATAAAAAAAAATTATTCCATAGAGTTTGTGGAAATACAGTTGATTAATATATAAAAAGAAAATTAATACTAAAAAAAATGTCACAATTAGTTGTATATAGATTAATTTCCGTAACTCCAAAAAAAATTATAATGTAGTCAATATAATATATTAAATAATTTTAAGAATGTAAGAAATAAACGTTAAAAGAGGAAATAACATCTAATTTAAATATAATATATGACGTATGACACAATGATAACGGTTCAATATCTAAAACATATATAGTTATAAATAATATACACGAAATATTAATAAAAGAATATATAAATTATCTATGAAATATTCTAACATATAAGAAAAATTATGTAAAATATATTATCTTAATCCAGTTATTAATAATACTACTGAATGTTAAAGATTATGTATATATTGAATATCTACGTATAATCATTATTAATAAAGTTGTCCAAAGGATATCGTTTAATGCTGATTATAAAAATAAAGGCATATATATACTTTAAGAGAATGTATAAGTATCAACCATTAATGCGAATTAATGAGCACTAAGTAAATACAAATTATAATATATATTTATTAATATATATATGATTCAATGGCTTCTATATGTATATATATTACATAACCATCTTAATGAAGATAAATATATTGTGTGATTATTTGACAAATTATATTAATATGTGCCGAAATAAATATTCTATTAAAAATATAATATGGATTCATAAAAATAATATAATGATTATTTATAAATTACTATGAAAATATGAGCAAATTATAATTAATATTTTAGGCATATAATTATATTGAATGAATAATATGATATTCATTTTTTTTAAAATATTGCTATATATATTTTTCATTATGTGAAAACTATCAGTATATATAATATTGAAAAATGCATACATTAATAGAGTAAAAGGATAACATTGTTTAAAATTTACTATTTACATAACTCCTCAAATAAAATAATACAATTTAATTACATGGATCTCTCATTAATTAAAATTTTATTACATTCAATACATGAGATGTGTATTATTAAGGTAACTATTTTATCTGATATCAATTTGGGAATTATTTGTTTCACTTATTCTACTAGTATGTATAATACTATGTTAGCAAGTTTTTACATATATATTGTATTTATTTAAGTTTTTTTTAAATAATTATATCATTTCATTTTTCATTTAGATTTAAAAGTTATAATAAAACTACAAAAATTATTATTTATGAACACTAGTAACTTAGTTAAATTTGGATTCATCTATTTTAAGGTATTCATATATGATATATAATAACTATTAACCCCTGTTAATAGGTTGTACTTTGGATATTTCTTAATAATTATGATTGTTGTTCATTATATGACATTGTTCTATATTTGTCATTTAGCATATTTTTTTAATTTACAGGAAAAATATAAATTATTTTAAAATTTAATTATAATTTTATATTATTATCTTTTGTATAATTATTAATTTTTTCATACAAATATTGGTATTCATTATTGTGTTCTTTTGATCTGATTATGCCTAATGCACTAATTTTGTCAGAGTTTGATTAAGTATGATACGCTGAACTGTATTATATTCTATAATCGCCATTAATAGAATTTTTGTATGAGATCTCAAATGAATATAATAATGTAAA